AGGAAGCACAACACCATTTTGCATAGTGGTTGCACCATTTTACAATCCTACCAGCAGTGTATCAGAGTCCCAGTCTCTCCAGGCAGAGGAGAGACCAGCCCTCGTGCTTGGTAAAGTCAGTGAGGAGGGCCATAGAAAGATGGACGGTGTCGATGAAGCGTAGTGAAAGTACCATGGGCTCCCGGAAGAATGAACCAATCTGGCTGGGCACTAGCACTGCCAGAGCGCTCCTTAGAAACGAGTCTTGCTGAGACTTCATCTTACGTAGTCTGGACAGGCTGTCAGGAGAGAGCAGTCCCTGGAACATGACTTCATGCCTGCCACACGAGAGGGCCAGCGGTCCAGAAGATCCTCCACGAGATGGATGGACAGTGGCTGCCACCACGGGCTCAGACGTCACACGTGTGAGGATGAGGTGGGGCGGGGCAGTGTTTCACGCTGCAGCACGCATGGTAGTTCTATCCTCACTGGTCCAGATGACGTCTAATTGTTTTGTGCTGTGTCGGAGGGTACCAACTTCTCCACATCCACACCAACACGTTCGTTCATGTGTTTTATTTCAGCCAGCCTCGTGGGTGTGAAAACAGCCCTGGGGTTGCAGTGGTCTGGGCTGAGTGGCTAACCGTAGGTGGGTGGTTTGAACCCACTGGCCACTCTATGGGAGAAAGAGGAGGCAGTCTCCTGTGACGAATACAGCCATGGAAACCCAACATGGCCATTCTCCTCTGTCCTCCGTGTCCTTACGGGCTGGAGTTGGCTCGGTGCCAGCGGGTTTTGTCATGTTTACTTTTTCAAAGGAATGTGAGGTTACTGGTCTCTCATTGTGGTTCGGGCTTGCATGTCTCTGATGGCCACTGACTTGGGCATCTCTGCATAGGCTTAGTGGGCACCTGTCTTTCTTCTTCAGGGAGATGTTCGTTCAACTCTTTGGCTCATGTTTTAGTTGAGTTATTTGTCTCTGTAGGGTAGAGTTGTTCAATGTTCTTTTCGTTCTCTGGATACAAGCTCCTGCTCAGCCTTTCTTGAATTTTAAGACTTCCAAATCAATGTGGGGAGCAGGGCCTGAGCTTTAATAGCCCGTGGGGTTCATTTGCAATCACAGTGACAGAAATCTGTGAAGACTGTGCCCTGCCCCCACAAAAAGAGCTTGTACTGGGGCAGAGACTAGGGGGAGAAGGGCGTAGACCTGTGAGGAGAAGCCATGCTTCCAGAAACCCCGTGGAGAGATGTTTGTTAGAGCTAAAGGCCAGGGATGCTGGCAGGTTAGTTTATCAAAGGCATACTCATATTGAGGGATTTTTTTTTTTTTCCTGAGGAGTACAGGCTTTTATTTCTTAGGCAAATCAGTTGGTACCTAGGAAAGCATTTTGGAGCTAAAAAGGGATATGCAAATGTAAGGTGATATTCTTATTCCCTGTATTGTTGTTTGTGAAAACCAATGGGAACCTTCTGCAGCATGAACCCACAGAGCCTGGGGGTGGGGAGCAGAGGAGATGCCGCGGTTTGCAAACCCTGGCCCGTGTGTCAGAGAGAGCGACCGAAGCCTTTGTGATTCCTCCCATATTCCTTTACCACTTGCATGATTATGTCCTTAACATTTTTCTTTATAAGGGCTTCCATCTCTTAGTAACGTCTTTCTAAAGGCAGCCTTAGCTCACAGTCCTAAATGACAAACTTGTTTCCTGTACAAAGTGGAAACCCAAACCGAGCTCCCTGCCCCGGAGTCCATGCTGACGCCCTGAGCCGCAAGCCTGCGCGTCGTTAAGGAGCAGAAAGCCGCCTCTTTCTCCCCTGGAGGGGCTGGAGAGTTTGAGCTGCTGACCTGGGATTAGCAGTCCAGCGAGAAGTCAGCTATTCCACCAAGGTTCCACAAAGTGGAAAATCCCTTCAAAACAAATATCATGAAAGCCAGCCATGTTATTAAATTTCAGCTGGGTCCATTTGCCTTTTAGGCCCAGAGAGCTGCTCCCCACCTCCGCCTGGCTGCCCTTTCCCCACCACGCAGGTCTCTGCTCAGGAGGCCTTCTCGGCATCGGCCCTCCTCAGGAAGACATCCTTGACCATCTCCACCAAATTCCTTGCTGTCTTTCCTTCACAGCACTGAGGTGTCTGGCTCTGTGAGGATGCGTGGTCTGTCTTATTCATACCAACTGCCTCACTCGTGGCATTGAAGCAAACCCAGACCAGGGGTGTAATCACTCAGACTCACGGAGACCCCACATGTGCTAGAGTGGCCTTGTGCTCCCCAGGGGTCACTTGAGTGGTGATGGTGTTAATGGCAGTGACTAGCTGACTGAGGTTTTTTTTTTTTGGAAGTGGGACTCCAGGTTGTTCTTTTGAGGCATCTCTGGGTAGATTTGAACCATCAACATTGTGGCCAGCAGGTGGATCCATTAACCATTTGCACCCCGGAGGACTGCATCCAGCTCAAGAAACACACGATGAATAAGTAGCTGGAAACGCTCAGCCTGTGTCTGCTCGCTAGCTTATTTTCATTCTCCTCTAAGGAAACGAGGGAGTGCTGGTGAGAGCTTCGAGACCGACGCTGGCACCGCCCTGCCCAGTCATCACAAGAGCTGAGCAGGACTGAGAAGGAAGCAGCCTCCTGGGGGTGCGATCTGCAAATCACCCAGCTTCCCAGGGGTTCCCATCCTGCTTTAGGGGGTGCGCAGACCCTGCAAGTGCACACCTGGCTTGAATTCCGACTGGCCCATTTTGAGAGCCGAGTGGCCGGCTGCTATCACCTAGCCTCGCCCAGCACCTGCCATCCTTAAAGCAAATGAATGGAGCACCCCTCTCGGGCCTCACAGAGCGCTGCTGGGAACATGCGAGGAGGCAGCGCGTGCGGACACATCTGGCAGATAGGAGCTGTCCCACCAATGCGCGTCCATGCAGAACGGCTGTGGCTGGAGATGGGATTTAATTCCTGGCTCTGCCTGCTAACGTCTCAGCTCTTCTTTCAGGTCCACCTTTAACGAGGAGTACTATTATTTGCCCTTTACTGAGCACTCATCATGTGTCGAGTTCCTCACGAAGAGCTTTCCACAGACCATTTTGTTTTATTTTTTCTTGGCTATAAGCCTATGGAGTCCAAATGAGTCCAGCCACGAACTAGATTCCAGCTGCGCAGCTCACCGGTGTGGGGGCCATGCAGACTCAGCGTGACCCTTACAGGGCAGGGTAGGGTGGCCCTTGCGAATTTCTGAGACTGTAATGGGTTGTGGAGGTCGAAAGCCCTGTCTTTCTCTAGAGGAGCAGGTGGTGGGTTTTGAACTGCTGACCTTACCAATCACAGCCCAACATGCAACCACTACGCCACCAGGCCTCCTTCTTCCAACTCACAGTAACATGATTCAGGGTTCTGGAGCTGTAAATCTGGATGGGAGCTGACAGCCTCATCTTGCTCCCTCGGAGCAGCTGGTGGGTTTGAACTCCCCAATGCCTCCGCCACCATGCCTCTGGGGCTCCTTTTAGTCCCACTGAGTTGGCATTTATCACACTCATTTTACAGCTATGGATACGAGGCTCAGGCTCGGAGGTTGCCTCAGGGAATGTAGCAACCAGTGATGCTGCCAGGCCCCTGTTCGTAACTGAATTATGGCCACGCCACCGCCTAGGCGAGGCCTTCCTGCCTGGCGGTCTTTTATCTTCTAAGTACTCCTAACTCCTCATTACTGCAGCTCAGCTGACCCCGCTCTCGGTCTCCCCTCTGGAAGGGGGCGTGTGTGGTCGGTGTCCCTTTCTCGAGGTTCAGGGCCACGTCCAATCCTCTCCCAGATCCCCCGAGGGCCACGCTGAGTGGCTGGCACTTTGTAGACCGTGCGCATCTGTCATGTAAATGAGGACAGGAAGTCTTCTGCCGGACTTCCTCCTTGTGGAGGACAGGCACAAGACGAAGTGGGCAGCTTTCTTTCCAGAAACGAACACGAGGTCCCTAGGAAAGCCACTGGGCTGGCTGTCCACCAAGGGGAGCGTGTGGAAGGACATGAACTGGACCAAGGAAGCCGCCGCTGGCTCAAGGAGGGTGGACCGGCAGAGCAGCCACCCTTCCATGGCCAGGGGAAGAGAGTTGTTGTGGGGGACCCTCCTGGCACGTAGAAATGCAGCTTCAAAGCCTATGCTGGAGCATGTTGGAACAGCGCTGAGATGCTACCACCTCCCAGAGAGCTTCCCTGCCCACCTGTCTGTCTCCCTCTATGTCATCACTCTCTGTGCTAGAACTGCCCCAAGGACAAGTCCATTTCTCTTGGGGGTGGTAGGGGTAGGGGGCTTATTTGGCAGCCTATCTTCTGCTGGCTCACCAGATTCCCCCTCCACCCCGCTCCACCTTGCTTCCTGCCCCAGTAGGAGCCTGGCGGAATAGGAGAGTGACCTGGGGGCATGTACTCCATGTGCTGTTGGACCAGGGCTGCCGGCAGCTCTGTTGTTACTCCGTCTGGCTGCCTGCACCATCCTGGGTGCACCCCCCCTATCCTGACCTAACCTTTGTGAAGAGCCCCTTGAGGAAGCCCTCTTGAAACTGTCACCTGGAGGGGTCCTGCTGGGCTCCTGACACAGAGGTGGGGATGCCCTCTTCTGTCCTCCGCGCCTGGCAGGGTGCTCGTGTGTGGTTCTCATTGCGAACGCTTATTGCACACCGACTGAACGCCAGATGCTATTGCTGGATTATTTAAGTCACGCTCCCAGCTGTCCCAGGATGATCATCCCATCTTACAGATGAGGAGAGCTAAGACGTGCAGTCGAAAAACTGGCCAAGGGTCACTGACCAGCATGTGGTCCATCTGGGATTCCACTCCCAGGTCGTCTCAACCCTTCCACCAGGCTGCCTGTCTGTTTCTTGTTCTGGGTGATGTCTGGTTTCTTGGCCCACTCAGGGGTTAAGGTAGAATGGGCAGAAGATAGAATGCAAGTCACCATGGCAACCAGGCTACCGGGTTGCCTCAGCTGGTAAGCCCTTGGGGCTGAGGTTCTTCTCGGAGAGAGATGGGGGTGGGGTTGCCATGGGGCAATGTTTGAGGCACCAGATGCTCTGGGAGGACCTGGAGGAGTACCAGGTGAGTGGGCAGGGGATTCTGGGTAGAGGTGGGCAGACCCCGAGGTGAAGAGTAAGGGGGAAAACTCTTGCCTGGAGATCTGGTTGGGTCATCATGGCCCTGGTCTTGACTGAACCAGCACCCATGGGCCCAGTCCAGCCCTCTGAGGCCACCCCTTGAGGTCTCTCTAGGGCTTTAATCTTGTCTCTGATCAACTCACCAAGCCTGCACCAATAGCTCCTTCTCAAGTTGTCAGAGAATGAGGAGAGAGATACGGGATCCCGTTCCTTCTCCTCCGCTGCCAACTCAGACAACCACGACCTCCAGAGGGATGCCTTCCCTTCCCCAGAGGGGTCAGGTCTGGGGCCAAGTGCAGGACTGGGTTGAACAGGCTGCTCATCTCTTTGCGGTTTGCCACAGGCCCTGACCTTCCTGACCAGAAATGAGATTCTATGGTGAGTAGAACTGACCCCCGAGCTCTAGACCTTTCCCTCCGCCTTCCCCTCGAGCCAGGGTCTTGCCCTGAGTCACCCCCACTCCGGTCCCCGAGTGTGGTCCCTGCTTAGAGCCATTGAACCCTGAAGATGGGCTGGGTCCGCGGGTCACGATTCCCAGAGCGCACCTGGAGTTGATGGAAACATCAGGCTGTTGGCTACTCCCTGTAGCCTACGGTCTAGGGGGGAGGGTTGCAGCACACACCTGCAGAGAGTTTCCTTGGGATATGGAGGGAAGCAAGGAAAGGGTTTAGGAATCATGTCTGACTCCTATTTTGACCATTCACTGGCTGGGGGAACTTGGATGTGTCCCTAAATCTCTCTTGTGTTGCCTGCCCTCTTTCCTCTCCCTTCCTCCCCCGGCCTCTCTTCAACGCCTATTGAGCGCCAGAGTGTGGAAATGCTACAAGGGACCCCTCATGAACTGTGGAGAGAGTGAATGAGATGGGGGCAGTCCTGGTGTTTGGTCAAACCTATTAGAGGCTTGGGCGAAGGGGGAGGTAGTACACAAGAAGAGGGAGGTTAGGGACAATGATGGAGCCAGAGGAAAACCCAGGGAGGTTTCCAAGAGTTAAAAGCAACAGAGGCGCATAAGGTTACATAGGCAATCCCACAACAGTGGGGATCTATCAGCAGGCGCTTGATAGGCACTCAGGCTAAACAGGTGGGAGAGGGAGAGTGGGAGTGCGTCCACAAATGCATATATATAGGTTTGACAGAGACTATCGGTACTTGCATCTTTACTTTTGCTACAAAGATACCCATAAATGTGGTGGAGCACACTGGAGGCAAAGTCTGAAATACTTTTTACACATAGACAAACACTTGCTGGGTCAGGGGATCAGGACTGTCATCTGAGCGACAGCAAGCTGGGTTGGCATCACATGGCTCACAAAGGTCATGGTCTACATCCTGCTTCGGCGAGTGGTGACTGGGGTTTCAGAAGCGTATGGACAGACGACGACTAGTCTGTTTCCAGCCAGAGGATAGAAGAGTGATGGAAATGGACAGACTCACAGAAACCACCAGTCCAACGGACCTTGCAGACGTCAGTCTCCACAACCCCGAGACCAGAAGAATGAGACGGTGCTGGGCTCCCACAGCCAACTGCTCTGACAAGGATCCCACTAGGAAGTCCCGGATAGAGTGGGGGTGGGGGGTGGGGTAGAAATACCAAACAGAACTAAAAATCATAATTTAAAAGACAAGGCATACAAGTCAGCTAGAGACGGGTGGGACTCCAAAGATGGTGGCCCTTATCAGATCTGGAACCGAACTCACCAACTCATTACATTAGAATAACCAACCACTTAAAATCAAAAGAGCAGCGTTTACCCAAAGACAACATTCAGAGGGTTAGGAAGGAAGGAGGCATGGGCATGGGAAACACAGAGAGGAAGCGGGGGTAAGTGATGGTATACTCGGGGGATTGCAGTGGGTGAGGTGAATTGGAATAGTTGTGAATTGTTGAATGGAAAACTACGGGCTGCTCTGTAAACCATCACCTAGTTTACAATAAAAGTTTGTTTGTTTTTTAAACAAAGACAAAACCTATTAGAGAAATCAATGAGCATACCAAGATACTACTCCTTTCCTCTCATCTCCTCTGCTTGGCCTCACCCTCCCCAGCCATCACCCGGAAACCATGCTTCTTGCTCAAAGTCTCTGGAGGGCAATGACTGCTCAACAAGTACCAACGGGGACTGAGCGTGCACAGGGCACAGGGAGCCACACAGACTGGGGACAGTCATGGGGCCCTGTTAGCTTCCCTTTAAAAATGAGCTTCACTTACTTTTAAACATGTGGCAACATATGACAAAACTCCACATGACCCACACGCTACCACCTCCATCCTCCCTGTTACTGAATTATCAAGTACCTTAACCTATCGTTCATGATGCTCATACTTATATAAAGATGATATATCCTTAGGTCCACATTGATGTTCACATGGCCTTATACCAGTATAGAAATGTCACTGCTGTGGTTTGCGGTATCCTTGACTCGACTGGCCTCCTGCCTTACCTAGCGTGATGCCCTTCTGCAGGCACGGCCCCTCCTGTTGGCCAGTCTGAAATACGTGAGACGCAGTTTCACCATGCTTGCTTCCAAAGAGCGTGGGCTGTGTGTCTTCCAACATCCATCGGTCCACTCTCCTGGCCCACTCTCCTGGCCGTCCACCAACCCTGCCATGCTTCCCTGCCCTCTTGGTCTTCCTTGTTCATGGCCTCCTGTTGTATGCACGTGCAGTGGTTGAAAATACCCTGGCTTGGCCCGGTGCCCTTAGTCTGCCAAGTGAAACCTTTGCTCTTTAACAACCTGCCGCAGATTGACCTCCACGTTGACCTTTGATTTCCTGACATTTTATCTTCATCAGTCAGGGCTTCAAAACCTCTTACTTTCAGTAAGCCAGGTGGGTCACCTGCACATCACCAGTTGTTAATGAGCCTTCCTTCGATCCTGAGGATGTGCTTTCCCCGCATACAGCTCAGCTTTGGGGATTTGCTCAGCCTATAGATCAGCTGAGCATGGGCGAAAGGGTGTACCTGATGCCCGCCTTTCCTGATGTAAGCCTGGCCTTAACCCCTTGTGCTGTTCATAGACTGCCTCTTGGTGTAGAAATAATACTGAAGTCTTGATATCACTAGTACAATATGGCATGCTATATTGTTAACAAGATATTACACTTACTCACACAGTTGTCAAAAGTAGCAGGCAAATACATAATGAAAATTAAAAAATAACAAGTAAGCATGGCTAGGTAATTCGAATGGAATAGAATGTTCTAAGTGAGAAGTCAGTATCTCCTCCTTCTCAGACTGTCTCCCTGAGGGTGGCCACTGTTCAAGTTTGTTTCTCTTCTAGCCTCCGGGAATACATTTGGATGCATAAATCTACAGACATGCATATCCGCCAACCCTCAGCTTCATACTGCAAGCAGGGAAGCATTCAATCAGAGTGCTCTGCCCCTTCTATTTCTTCCTCCTGGACAGTTTACCTAAAACACCTAGAGCATGCATTGCCTCATTGCCTCTAGTGGTCTACAGAGCAATCCTCTGTTAGGGACGCTTAAGTTCTTTATAGTGTCCAGTGTTACAAATAACGCTGTACGCGTCATCTGTGTAGGAGTCCTGGTGGCAGAGTGGTTACCCATTGGTCTGTGATCCACAAGGCCAGAAGTTTGAAACCACCCATTGCTCCTCAGGAAAAAAGACTGGGCTTCCTACTCCCAGGAATGGTTCCCGGCTCTGACACTCACAGGGTCGGGTCCGCCCTCTCCTACAGGGTCGCCATGAGCTGGCATCACTCGATGGCAGTGAGTTTTGTTTGGGGGTTTGAAACATTGATGTAAAAAGGTCATCCAACGTCTGAGAATAAATCCATAGGGGGAAATCCTAGAAACGCTGGCTAAAGAGTTTGCCTTCAGGTGTGTACCATCGAGCCCAGACGGACTCCTAGCGAGTAGAATGGCCTCACTGGGAAATCCAGATGGGAGCGGCTTGCTAAGTCTTTCCTGCTGTGCAGCGGGTGACTGGTGTGTTCTAACAGCTCACCTTTTGGTTAGCAGCCCTTTGCTTAACCGACGTTCCACCAGGGCTCCTTGGGAGAGGACCAGAGAAGCACTGGGAGGCTGGCGATGCCCACGTGACCCTGGCCCAGATAGGGAAAGCCCTCTGACTCCGCCCCTCTGTGTGCATCCAGGGGCTTCCGGTGAAGAGCTCCTGGCATGGCCATCGGTGGAAGATCGCCCTTAAAAAGGAAGAGCATCTCTGCTTGTCAGGGAGATTGTTAAGCAGAGAAATCGAAGGCCAGGGGACATCTGTTAGCATGCTCTGTTAGCTCCCTTTCCTCCCCATACAAGGAATGGAACAGAGGTGAACCCATCAGGACTCAAAGAACCTCAGAGACGGCAGCGAAGCGGATGAGAGAGGTCAGCAAAAAGTCCGGAGATGGAAGGCAGATGGGCCCGCGACACAGGCTCCGCAGAAAGGAGGAGGGCAGGTTGCCTTCGATAGTTGGGAGGGTGGAAGGAAGCATTCAGAAAGGCTCAGGAGCCAAAAATTCGGGATCAGGCTGAAAACAGAAAGAAAAGTCTTCTATGATGCTTTCTCATGTCCTGTGTTTCTCTGGGCTCCCCCATCCCCACCCCAGCAGAAGGCTCACCCCTGGAGGGAGCCGCAGCAGACCGGCTCTTGACTCAGGGCCTCGCCCGGGCACAGAGGAGAGTGGGTGACTTCCCGCCAGCCTTTTAGAGCCGTCTCCCACGTCGGGGTTGAGAGCCAAGGGGCACTGCGGATTTGAAGGAGGAATATAAAAAGCCTCCGCTAAAGCGTGTCGCCATGACATTTCAGAGCACTTGAGATAATGAGAAGATCCTAAAAGCTTCCTTTCAGAGAAGGGAAAAAAACCATTGCTCCCAGAGGGTCAGGAGTCAGGATAGCTTTGGGCTTGTTATGTTGGAAGACAGAAGCTAATCACCTTCAAAACCTCAGGGGAAAATGGCTTCTCATCTAGAGTTAAGTCCTA